ACATCCTTCTCCAGCTCTGTCCAGAACCCTCTGTTGTGATCCTGGTCAGAGCAGTCAGTGGTGGTAGCCGGGCACCATCTAGCTGTACTGGACTCAGTCCTGTGGAGGCCTTGGTAGCTGTGGACAGTTAGTCCTTCGGACTAATCTTTTCCTTGTATCCTGTTCCCTTCATTCTCCCTTGCTCCCGAAGACCATGTTACTTATACTAGCCTCCTGATGGGGAGTGTTTCTCTGTTGTTCTGATTAAGCTTCATGATAGGTATTGTGTTCATGGGTCTTGTAGGTGGGGCCTTCTCAGTAAACCTGCCCTGCCCCTCCCTGTTGGTCTGAGCCTCCCACCTGTCCACCTGTTCCTGCTCATCCCCACGGGACTAGAAGGTGTCTTTCTATTCCCTTCATCTAGCTGCAGTGGGTTTTCACCGATGCTCTTAGAGGGACAAGTTTGTTGCCCTTCTTCCAGCAGTTTAAGGCCTTTGTGCTGAACAAAAGGTAAGGGAGAAAGATCCAGGCAAGGTTTTTTGCTTTTCCTGCAGTCACTGCTGCCGCCGCGGCCCTCTCCTGGCCTTAATCTGGAGAAGAGCTTGAGAGTGCATATGAATTCCCCTTGTGTCTGCAGCTCCCAGGGACTTCATATTCTTTCACTAGTCCATTCTTGGCCTTTAGCAATTCATGAAAATTTTAGATGAGTTTTTCTTACAGTCATCTGGTAGCATTTGCCATTTGTCTCAGGTAAGCAAGTGCTTGTCTCTGTCTCTCCTTGGAGGCACCCCTCTCCTTAGATTTCTGGTTATTTGGTTGTCCCGTGACCTCAGCTTTCTAGTGGGCCACAAAAAGTTTTAAAAATTGTAGATTGTCCAACTTTTTGTTGAGTGTGGAAGTTACACTCTTTCTAGCTTTCTACCATCTACGTAGAACTCTTAACCTTTTCTTTCGACTGTTTGGGGCCCTGGTGGCAGAGTGATTAAGGGCTATGGCTGCTAAACAAAAGGTTGGTAGTTCAAATCTATCAGATACTCCTTGGAAACCCTATGGGGAAGTTCTACTCTGTCCCATAGGGTTGCTATGAGTCAGAATCGACTCAATGGCAATGGGCGTTTAACAGATTTTTGACTGTTTTATTGTTACTGTTGATAGGCTTATTTTTATTTTTTCTTTTATTTTTAAGTAAAGTTGATGTGTCAACATAACTAATTTGTTGTTGTTGTTGGCTATAGCAAAGTCTGGAATATTAGTGTGGGACATATATACTATAGAATCTATTTTTAACCTTTATAAATAAATTAGATTTCTTTGTGAAAGTTTTCACAGAACCCAATAATATATTAATTCATAGAATGATTAAAATTTAGAACCAGAAGAAATTCTAAAAACTATCCAGATTAAACTTTTCATTTTATGTGAGACGATTAAATGACTTTTTTTAAGCTAACAGAGCTGGTTGGTTACAGAGGCAGAACTCAGACTAAAATGCACTCGTGTCTTAGTCCATGTATTTGTCCATGACATCCTAATTTAGGAGATTATTATTTTGTACTTTTTCATTTTCCTTTATTAGATTTTCATTTCTTTCTAGGAGCAAACTCTTCTCTTTCTCTTTTTTTTTTTAGTAGGGAACGGTATTGCAAGTTAAAATGAGACTAGAAAAAGTTGGTCTAGCTCAGGTTTATCTGTGATATGAGGAATTGATAGTACTTAACCAATAGGATTGTTTAAGAAATTAAATTATGAACTTAAAATGTTTTTATGCCCTCTGGTTTTTCTCTAGAAAAATGAATTCAGCACTATTTTATGTCTTAAAAACAGTTAGTTGAACACAGTACCTTTTCTTGAAAGATAAAACTGTTTATTATGTTAAAATATTATTCTAAATTTTCCTTATATCTTGGTATAAAACTGTTTATTATGTTAAAATATTATTCTGAATTTTCCTTATATCTTGGTATTATAACAGGCTCTTTTGGCTCTTCTGCATAACTGTTTTTCTCTCATTTCAGGGAGAACTTTCACTTATCTCTTCTTTAACCTATCGTAGAAATGGAACAGCTGTTTTGAAAATTGGGCTACAAGGTATATATCATAAGCAGACTGCATTTCTGCTTAGCTTCTTGCCTGTAATCTAAATGGCAACTTCATGTATTTGTACATGTACATATATATATTTAATAGATAATACATTGTAGTATAAAATATATAGAATGAAAAGTTAGTCTTTTCCTCACTTAAAATTTTTTTTTCACTATCAATATCTGCCATCCGACTCTCCCCCCCATTGCTTCTGTTCTACTTCAAGTCTCTTTAACAGCATATCAGAACTATTGCAGTTGTTAACTCATCTCCTTACTTCTAGTTTCACTAATGTGACCTAAACAACTTAGCAAACTTAACTTTCCTAAAACTCTGCTTTCAATATGTCACTTCCTGCATATAGTTAAATAATTCCCTCTCCCTAGTAACTTTCAAATAATCTTGGTAAGCTAGGCAAAGCTACCTTGAACACTTGGGGACCAAAGCAGATCTCATATAAAGCCTGAAATTGGTTTAAAGGATGGTTTGGAGCGCTGAATGGGAAGCAGACATTGAATTATAACATTCTACAACTACTGAACCAGCTGTATGCCAGCCACTGTTCTAGGTACTGGCGACACAGCAGTAACCAAAACAAAGTTCCTGCCTACGTGGAGTTTACATTTTAGGGGAATAAAGAAATTCAGTAAATAATTACATAAAATAATGTTAGGTAGAAATAAGTGGTCTGAAGAAAAGTAAAGTAAGTTAAAGTGGTAGAGAGTAGACCACTTGCCACCTAGTTGATTCCTACTCATGGTGACCTCATGTATTTCAGAGTAGAACTGCACTCCCTTGGGTTTACAGTGGCTGTGATCTTTTGGAAGTAGATCGCCAGGCCTTTCTTCAGAGACACCTCTGGGTAGATTTGAACCGCCAAACTTTCAGTTATGTAGCTGAGCACTTAACTGTTTGAGCTACCTAGGGACTCCATAGAGAGTAAATGTATCATAAATAAATTCATTTTCTGAGTAAATCCAGCGTAGCTGCATTTATCAGGTACTTGATATTTGCAGAAAATTGATCTACTTCAGGAGAGGGTTTTTTTTTTTCCTTTCTTTCTTTGTATTTCCAGTGATTAGTGCCTTGTACATAGTAGAAGCTTGGTAAATGATTGTTAAATTACTGGTATGGGTCAGGCAGGGAGTTCTGGTTGTGCAGTGATTAAACGTTCAGCTGCTAACCAAAGGGTCAACTGTTTGAACCCACCAGCTGCTCTATGGGAAAATGATGTGACAGTCTGCTTCCATAAAGATTACAGCCTTGGAAGCCCTATGGGGCAGTTCTACTCCGTCATATAGGGTCTCTATGAGTTGGAATCAACTCGACAGCAGTGGGGTTTTAAGGGTCAGGCAGGGCCATTTATTAAGTAAAAATAGAAGATGCAGTTTTGGACTTCCCCTTTGTGATCTCAGGGAGAGAAGTCATTCATTCAAAAAAAAAAAAGTTAAAACAGTGAATACAATATAACATGGTACACATGAATTGTAATTTCAGTCAATCAAGGTACATTTGAAGGCAGTGGATTGTTTTTTTAGTACACATAAATACATAATGTACATATAGAAAGATATACAAATCATTAAAGTACCTGATGATTTTTACAAAGACAACACACATTTATAATTAGTATTCAAATCAAGAAAAGACCATCAACGAGCATCCCAGAATCTTCCCTTCTAGTCACTGTTTTCCCCAAGTGTACCTACTCTCCTTGCTTATAATACCATAGATTAGTTTTGCCTGTTTTTGAAATTTATGTAAGTTGAATTATATAGCATGATCTCTATTGCATCTGGATCCTTTCACTAAATATTATGTTTTATGAGGTTTGATCCATATTAGTGTTTAAGTTCATTTCTTCTCATTACTCTCTAGTATTCCATTGTGTGGATATTGTACAATTTATTTATCTGTGCTATTGTTGATGTTCGTTCTTTTGTACATAGGGCTGCTATGAGTCAGAACCAACTCGACGGCACCTAACAACAGCTAGTGATGAGCAGTTGGTTACTTTCATGTTTTTGGTGATACCAAATAGTGCTTTCGTGAACATACTTGTACATGTTTTTGGCAAATGTATGCCATCATGTTTTGCGTGTGTACCTAGTAGTGAAATTGCTGTGTCATAGGACATACATGTGTTTACCGTTAGTATATATTGACAGATGCTTTCTAAAGTGGTTTTACGAGTTTATGTTCCCACAAGCAGTGGGTGAGAGTTTGGGTTCTTCCACATGGTCGTCAACACGTCATATTTTTCATCTTTTTTATTTATGTTATCCAGTGGGTGTGTAATACCAGTTGATGATGAAAGCCCTGAGGCAGCTAGGAGTATAAGGAAGCTTCCTTAATCTGACCAAGAGTATCTGCAAAAATCCTACCACAAATGCCATGCTTCATGGTGAAATATTGAAAGCTTCCCCCTCTGAGATCAGCAATGTGACCTGTCACCATTTGTACTCAACATTTTATGGGACATCATAGTCGGGACAGTAAGTAAGGACAAAGAAATAAAAGGAGTAAGGACCAGGAAGGAATTAGTAGAACTGTCATTATTGACAGATGACATGACTGTGTATGTAAAATATCTAAAATAATTTATGGAAAAAAATACAGGATTTACTAAGTAAATTTAGTAAGA